TTATTTTACATGGGTGCCATTTTTTATGTGGTGGGTTTCTACTGAAGGATGTGAAAAGTTTTCCGTTTGACAGTAATTACATTTGGAACCCTGGAGAGTAGGGAGATGATGTGGAGTGAGAAATCTAATATTAACATGCTTAATAATGGTTCTGGACTTTAGGGCGCTAGTGGGGTGGACGGTACTGTGATAGTTTGTTAGTCTGTGTGTGGAAAGTTTTGTTATGCTGAAGTCTACCCCCGGTCTTGCTACTTAAAGGTGCTGACGGCAAGTTGCGTATTATCAGCTGAAGGAACCTATTCATTGTTGTTGGGATGCCCACAGAACAGCGGGGTTCAATCTTACGTGTTTCCCTATTCTGTATCGTGGATTTTGTTCCTCATACTTTTTTATCAGAGCTGGAGAGTTTTTCTGTCTCTGTGAGACTAATCCAATTTCATTCGATTCATCTTGTGAATGACCTTCAGGAGGACCAGTTTTCGAATGAATAGCTTTATTTGCAAGTGTGTCGTCACACGGATCACACTTAGGTACTTTACTGCGCGAACAGCCGGATTTAATAACGCCGTTATGTTTTTCGATGACAGTTAGGATCGGTATCTTATTCGAAGGTTTCTGACCTACAGAGTGATCCGCCGTTTGTGGAGTCACGTCGTCCTCATTGTTCATGCGCTTTAAATTATCTACTGTATTATAAACTATCACTAGTTGATTATTTGCTGTGACACTATCTTGCAAAGCCATCGCTTCGTGATTTCTCACACGACGTTGACAGGACGTTAAGTCTGGAGTGACTTTTATTTTCTTGTATGGAATTAATGAGCTAGTATATTTGCTCTAACTAATTAACTGTTTAGAATCAATACAACAGCAAAATTAAAACAGGTGGGGAGTGTCGATCTATCCTACGTTTACTCAGGAGGATGGCTTGGCAGTTGATTTTCAGTATACCGCATGTTGAGAGGCAAATATCCATCAACCCAGGTAAGTGTGTGCAATCAGGGAGATTATGAGCAACTGCATAGAAGGAAAGCATCACTCCTTTCATCACTTCCTCCGCCACAAACTTTAAAATACACTCAGCTCTGGTGAGTTGTTCAGGGTTCTTACCAGAATAAAGGCCTCGTTTCCAGCCCCTCAAGATATGCCACCAAAAACACATATGGAACGGGTGACTTCGTCCCGCGCCACCATTAATGCCTCGAATGTTCCAGAGGGGTATAACGTTGCGGTTTCTAAGAGCTCTCAGTTTCAAGTGGATTTATTCTCGACCATTAGTTGCACGTCCCAAAGCAATCTGCATAACGCGCGCCAACTGTCATATTGACAATACGAGTCTCAATAATAATATTTACATTCATATGAGAGATGTTTTATTCCCCATAATTCCATGACTAATGTACTTTATCAAATATCAACCTAACTGAGTAACCCAATACAGTGAAGACTGTATCTCCTGTAAAGTGGCATGCCTCATGTAACAGACTGTTACTTGAGAATATGTTATTATTATTATTATTATTATTATTATTATTATTAAGAATATTCGGTCGACTTCCTGTGCTTCAGTCATTCGCATCTATAAGTCATCCAAGTGTATCTACATCTATATCAGCAGACTTTGGAAACCGAATCTAATTACTAATCTTATCTATCTTTGATTCTTATTATTTCCGTTTACTTCTCGGTTCTGCATAATAATCTACACAGTCATTATGTTTATTCAGTTAATCAATTCATTTACTTGTCCTACTTAAAACGTATTCTTCTCTAGCCTGATTTTAACTGACATCTTATGGGTTTTACAACTTTTATTGGATGGCTAATGGTTTTAGCGGCCCCATAGCCCAAGGAAAAACGCATGCATTTGTAGACACCCTTAACCGATCAAAGTTAGACAATCACTGAAAAACTGAAGGCACTGGACGGCCAGTTCGTTCTGGTGTGTAACTACCTATCGATGCCCTCCAACTAACCTACGACCAGTAGTTGAAGTCAGAATACGTTTTGTTTAAAACATTACCAACCTGGAAACAAGCATCAAATATACCGCAACTAGTGAAGTATTCCTTCGATAATTACGTTGTTTATTATTTCGATATTGACTAAATTTGCCTCTCACATTCGTCGTAGTTTTATTTATGGAACGGAATCTGCAGGATTCTGGTGCGAATGTATGTGATAATTCCTTGGTGTTGCTTTTCTTCATGACTACTACTTTAGCTTTCCTTTGATGCGTCGTTTTTTGCGACCCGCATTTATGTGCATTTTTCTTCCTTTCTTTGCAAGCACATCTTACTACTCTATTGTCCACAATTTTCAAATGATGGTTCTACTTTCCCATTATACTGCTTTTTGACTTTAGTCGATGGTATATAAAGTGAATTTATTGCATATCGTTACTGGTTTACACATACACATGACTGCTCTCGGGAGAAAAAGTGAAGGTTTTTTTGGTAGGGACATGTATTACTGTTGAAAGCTTTGAACTTCCGTATTCTTAGTGACATAATAAGAGAAAGCGAAGTGTGTATTACACTTTAAGCTCATATGGATTATTCTAGCTTCCAGAGGGCCTGATTAACTAAGTCTCTTCAAGTCACACTCTGACCTTGTTAATTATTCGCTTGTTAACTTTGACTGTTTTAATATGAGCTTATGTGTGTACATTCCATACCCCACTCTTCGCATGTCTGTAACTTTTTTTGTCTTACTATACATGTCAATTCGCACTTGACCAAATTAAGTCGGCTCCCTCGCATTATCCGCTCCTCTTCGCTTCCACATAACTGTTCCGAATATCTGTTTGTATAAACAAATACTTGAAATAAATTACTACAGTACAACTCGTACTTGGCTTATTATTAGCGCCGTCACATAAGCATGGTTAGGCTAGGTACAATACGCAGTTAGACGGAAGGTTTATCTTAATAACATATTCATACGTTCATCATAGTTGGAATCCAATCAGCAGGTTGAAAACTTCCTTGAAATATCTACCTTACTAACAAATAACTTAGTGTATAACACCATGTTTACCTAACTTCGATACATTTATTTTACTCATCGTCTGAAATCGTTCGATCTGTAATTATGACCATAAACTTCAAGTTCTCATTTAGACATTCTATCATTACGCATTGTGAAATTTAAGGTCACGTACTAAGGATTTTTCATAACATATCTCAATATAATGCGATACTGCACTGTGGCATATCGTAATATATAACTTAAAATCGAAACACTCGGATCTCTAAACTTTGGGTTTCTTATTGTTTGTGCATTTCGAGTAAGCTAGGGCCGGGAGTCTGGTTACAATAAGTGCTGAACAAAAGGAAAAAAACAAGATCCTAGAATACAACACGGAGAACACCGACCAAATCACACTCGATGGAGAAACTCTCGAATAGGTAGAAAATTTCACGTACACGCACAGCATCATCGATGAACAAGGAGGACCCGGTGCAGACGTACAGTTAATTAGTGGCAAAGCAACAGCAGCATTCCTACAGTTGAAGAACATATAGAACTCAAAACAACTGTCTGTCAACCAACATCAAAGTCACAACCTTCAGTACGAACGTCAACACAGTTCTACTGTACGCAGCTAAAACTTGCAGAACCACCACAACCATCATCAAGAGAGTACAAGTATTTACAAACAATTGTGTATGCAAGATAATCAGTGTCCGTTGACTGGATACCATCAGCAACAGCCTACTGTGGGAGAGAACAAACCAGCTTCCAGTTGAAGAGGAAATTAGGAATAGACGTGGGTAGTGGATAGAACATACATTTCGGAAGTCATCAAACTGCATCACGAGGCGAGTGCCCACTTAAAATGCTGAAGGGAAACGAAAAAGGGGAAGGTTGAAGATACACTGTGTCTGGAATTGGAATCAGACATGAAAAGGATAAATGCCAAATGGAGGGGATTGCCTACAGTTACAAACCGTTTCATGATTATTATCCAATGTAATTTGATTAGCAAACATCGAAATAATTTATATTGCCTAAAATAACTCTTTCTCATACATTATGAGCAGGGATAGACGGTGGCTAGAAGTGAAGTCCAGGACGCGCGTTTCATCGTGTTTGAAACTCATCACCTGGATGTACTTGCATCACAAAGTTGATTCTCATTGCAGGACCCGAACCCACTACTGTTCGCTTCAAAGCCGTTGCGTTATCCACTTAGGAACTGAGTTAAAACAGCTACTAGTTTGTGCAATTGTAGTCATAAACATCACTAGGATTACTCAAAATACCTGTACCGAAGTAAATAAGTTATCACCCACTGAAAAAGCTTGTGATTTATTATAATTACGCATGGTTAATGTGTGAATATTTGACAAGCATTAGTATAAGCTTACAGGATAAATTCACACAGGCATTATCAGGAGTCTATTCAAGCTAACACTTTTTCGCTTGTAAAATTAGTAAGTAGTAAGTCTCCTTGTCGTATGTTATTTTAGTGATATTTTTCCGTAAATCTATCAAAATAGGCTTACGGATTACTTTAATTCTGTTAATCCTCGGTACTATCAAGTAAACATTTTCGTTCCCTAGTTTTTAGAAATGATGTGACAGGAATCACATCTTCTCGTAACCAAGCAAGCTCTCCTACTACCAAGACGTTGGTGAGAGAAGACCGATCATTCCGCTAATGCTTAACAGCCAGTTATATGAAACGCGATCACTGGATCAAATCCGAAAGGTAAGAAAATAACTAATATCATCCACCAATCAGGTTTTTATCAACTATCTCTCTTAAACTCTCAGCTTGTAACGTTCTTCAGGCAAACAATATTCAAAACTTCTGCACCAAACCTGCACTCTCGCTATCACAGTACCCAGATTTATTTTACTGGGCTTGATGAAAGTTCCCATCTTTAATTCCCGATAGTCCCAATGTAATGTTTTTGTAACAAGACTGACGTTTGAGTTCATTGTGACATTGGATTTCGTATGTTGGGGATATTAGATTTCGAGCTGAGGTTTAAAGTTGTGTGACACGTTTAGAATCTGACTGCCACTCTGCTTTCGACCACCAGATTGCCTTCACACCATACATTAACTGTTATTTATTGTCGACTAAACTTATTATTTTGTGTAAGTTAATTCAATATTTTACTGAGTTGTCTGCTCTCATGTTTTGGATTCGACTTTTATACACGTCTATGAAGCCTCATACAATGCTTCGCTCACTCAGTGTCCATACAATGTCATTTCAGGCTCCATGCAAGCTATCTCAGATCTGAGTCCCATCGGTGGAGATGTTTGTCTTAACTGAAATCCAGACATCACACTAGTACTAATGTAATTTCTTAAGAGCTAAAAAATTGAATTTAACGGGATAGGGAGTTGCATAGTTTGTTGAATTCCGTGGTTTTGACACCACAAAATAACCACTAGATCTCAGATTGACGATCTGAAGGTTAAAACCTCACCCTAGACCCTGAAAGTGTCAGGTTCGATCTCTGGTGAAGTACAGGATCTACGTTCTGAAGTCTCGTACTAGGACAAGACACGTGTTCTGTATTTCCTGATTTTCACTGGCCCTCTAGTACCCTCTATAGGAATACAAACTCAACCTGTCTGCACTTTATGTAAATATGTCATCACGTCCTCATTCGTACCTTTTCTTTCTAGCATTAGTTTTTGGTTCTTTACTTTTCCGTTGATTTCTTGCTGTCCTGGTTATATGTGGCGACTGGGTATATTTCAGATGTTTTGCTGTATCCGTCAGTAATTGTTGGTTTGCAATCAATATGAATAGCAAGTTTTCAAGTATAGTTATGAGGACACAAGAAATCACAACTTAGAAATATAGTTAAAAATATACAGTTAATAGGACTGAATAGATAGCACGCCAAACACTAATAATTTGACACTTAAATTTGCTGGTATTGGCTAAACACCATTTAATATTACTAGAAGAAATTCACGAAACAACTGGATATCGCCTTTTTTGTGGAGTCTTATTTGCATGATCCCATATCAGATGTGTTCAATCTAATGAAATATTTATCATCTAGCAATCTTAACGCGTTGTGATGAACACTACTTACGTTTATCCTACGCTATTTATCTCTTAATAACTCCTGGATGTAATTATCTAAACTTATTTCACCCCTATTAGACTTGAACGGGACAAATATCACTATGCAGATATACACTTCTGAAAAGCGTGGCTCCGATACAACTGGAGACGGGACAGAAAAAGCTCCTCTAAAAACTATTCTTCAGGCCATCGCTAAGTTAGATGGGAAAATTGATGCGGATACGTGCATCTGGGTTGATGGTGTTGAAAATGAAATGTGGGATCCTGTATCTAAATCGAAACTAAAGAAGATGATCAAACAATATCATATTCAAGAAAGAAAACATGATAAGGTGCCAAAGGGAAAAGTTGTAAGTCTCGCTTGCAAGTAATGTAAGATTTACTTATTCCAGTATTGGTGGCTTCTACACAACCTATTATTTACACAACTCTGCGTTATGTAGCCCCCATGTATTATCATTTGTGACCAACCTAGCCATAGTGACCACAGGATTTTAAATTCCTGTTGTCTGAGTAATTTGAAGCAATCAACTTAAAATCTAAGTAAATATGTGCATCATTTTGGCGCCGAAATCTCGCGATTGTACAAGACATCCATCATAATATGCGATTTCGAGATAAATGCTGCTTAAGGTCACTGATGACACCTTGAGTTTCCTTAATAACTAGTTACAGACTACTGTGTCGACAGTGTAACAAAAATGATGACTATTATTTGTGTGTATAAAGACAGTCAAGATCTTACTGGATATTCTCTCCGAGTTCATCACTTCAGTAACTTGGTGCGAACCTGTGTGGACTAACAAACTGTTAGAATGCCACACAAGGGTAAGACACCAGTGGGATCCCATGTAAAACTTGTTACGTTTCTTTATCCATCCTGGTAATGCCAATCCTATCCTACATAGTTTGTCTATATATTCACTCTTGACATACTGAAATATTTGTTGATGGATGTATTAAAAGCACAACTTCACTCAAACGTTCTGTTCATATTCATCGATCTTAGCAAATAATATTGCCTCTCAGTAGTAGTCAGTCTCCATAAAATGTTTGGATCAAAGCCGATTACATTAAGCTTGATGAGTGAATTACATGAAAATTAAGAAATATGCTGCTTAGAATAGTAATAAATCTACATTGCAAAGATGTTTAAAGGTCATATGAAAGTAAAGATATTTTTAAACGAACCTTTACAACCGTTTCTCACTATCCTGCTATTTATCTTAATATTCATTTAGTTGCTACACAAAGTTCACAATATATTTGTAAATATTAACCGCTTTGTTCCGTAGCATCTGTGGTAAAAAAAAACATAAAGCTAACTGTGGAAGCTGTTCTTCAGTGTCTCATGCGCTTCTGAATGTAGTCTATTGGTTGGAACACTGGATTGTCAATCAGTACATAAAGGGTTTGAATTCAGCCCCACCTGTCCTAGTAAAATCGATAGACCTCACAGAAATAATATAGCTCAAAGCCAAACACATAAACTTGTACTGTGTGTGAATTACAGTTTACATACATTTTTTGCTGTTCTTATTAGACTGTTGCATTTCTTTCTCAGCCACCTGCTGAAAACGGTAATCTTAGTGAAGCAGTGTATGTTCAACTGACTTTGGACACAAAATTACCTGAAGCAAAACAATGTAAAATTCGTGATTTACAAACCTTATACGATCAACGTGTACGTGTGTACGGCTGGGTGCATCGAATACGTCGTCAGAGTAAAACTTTAATGTTCATTGTTCTTCGGGATGGTACTGGGTTCTTGCAATGTCTTTTTTCAAACAACCTGGTAAGTTTTGTACAATGATAAGCTTTCTATTTTTGAGTGAATGAAGTCAAGAAATAAGACGTTTACTAATGCATTTGCAACTGATTTCAAAGCATTTCCCTCAAGTTATTCGATCATAGATCGGTATTGTATCATGTACCTAAGTCAGGAAGTATGGTGAATATGGAGGATTCACCTAGAGAAGTTGGAAAACCCTGATCCCAAACCAATGGTTCACATGGGCTCCAGGATCCCGAAGGAACAAATGATCTACGAACCTACTGTTGGTCACCGGCTACTATGGGACTACATCTCCTTATGTTACTCCACTGCCTTGTGGTTTAGACCTTAGAGTCAGAGACTCGGGGAGTGTACCCTAAGGAAACCACCTGCCCCGGCTTGGGTGCCTGGGCAGTATCACAGACCTCACACAAATCAATGATAACTACTACTGGCATTGTCATTGTGTGGCGCATATGTATTTGGTGCCACCTTGTACTAATGTTTCTGTGTTCAAATAAATAAATACAGGAATTGCAAACCCTGTACACACCCTAGCCCAAAATTCAATGAATTCCTGGACTACTGTCATGTTTTGAGCTAACCATGTTAATGAGTTACATGATTCATTCAACTTCAATTGAATTCTCTTAGCAGTCAAATTTGGGATTTTCTAATCATGCTTAAACAGTAGTATTTAGTTTTCATGAGGTGATGACTTCCGCTTGTAATTATCCCTTCGAGTCTCTTCTTATTTTCTCCTTGAAGAGATTAAGTATAGGAAACTGCGATTTTTGATGTTTTCTAAGAACGAATTCATTTAAAAATAACCTGACGAGTGAAGAATTAATTATGCATGTTACTCCTTGTGGAGGAGCATAAGCCACCCACCAGCATTCTCCATCGAACTATGTCCTTTCCAGTCGCGATTAATCCTTTTCATGTCTGATTCCAATTCCAGACACAGTGTATCTTCAACCTTCCCCTTTTTCGTTTCCCTTCAGCATTTTAAGTGGGCACTCGCCTCGTGATGCAGTTTGATGACTTCCGAAATGTATGTTCTATCCACTACCCACGTCTATTCCTAATTTCCTCTTCAACTGGAAGCTGGTTTGTTCTCTCCCACAGTAGGCTGTTGCTGATGGTATCCAGTCAACGGACACTGATTATCTTGCATACACAATTGTTTGTAAATACTTGTACTCTCTTGATGATGGTTGTGGTGGTTCTGCAAGTTTTAGCTGCGTACAGTAGAACTGTGTTGACGTTCGTACTGAAGGTTGTGACTTTGATGTTGGTTGACAGACAGTTGTTTTGAGTTCTATATGTTCTTCAACTGTAGGAATGCTGCTGTTGCTTTGCCACTAATTAACTGTACGTCTGCACCGGGTCCTCCTTGTTCATCGATGATGCTGTGCGTGTACGTGAAATTTTCTACCTATTCGAGAGTTTCTCCATCGAGTGTGATTTGGTCGGTGTTCTCCGTGTTGTATTCTAGGATCTTGTTATTTTCCTTGTGTGTGTTGACGCTTCTACCACATTGGTTGTACAGAGTTTCGATAGATATCCGTTCCCTATGGTGATGCTTATTGAGGCACAGAACCTCTTGACACGTTGATGTTAGTGCTTACTTGATCCCTTTCCTACTGTCCTCCGTAGTAGTTCCTTCTCTTTTGAGTTGATCTTGTAAGGTGTGGCACGTGTTGTTGAGAGCTATTTTGAATTCGTTGAGTTTGTGAGTATCTCAAATTAAGGCTCTATTGAACCTTTGTAATGCTGTCTCTCTGGTTGTCCATTGCTTCTTTGGCTTCAGTCTCATCTTGGCAACCACCATTTGGTGATATGAAGCTATGTCAGCTCCTCTCCTGGTTCTCATGCCTTCTATTGACCTTGTGAATTTTTTTGTTGATGCAATTATGATCGATCTGGTTCTGTGTAGTGTGGTCCGTTGAGACCGATGTAGCTTTGTGTATGCGTTTGTGGGTGAATATTGTGACACATATCCGTTTTGTTGAGTGAACATAAGTTTGCGAATCTCTCACCATTCTCTTTCCTTTTTTCAGTCAACCCACATCGTCCCATGATATTTCGATACTCTTTGTTTAATGATGCTTTGACGATTCTGGGTCCATGAGATTTCCATCCTATAAGTGCATTTCGTGCTTCTTTGGACAGCATCAGAGCAACTCCCTGGGTGTGTGGAGCATTTTCCTCTTCTGAATGAAGTACAGCATCATCTCTCCCGAATTTATCTTTTTCTGTCAAGTTTGAACTCAATGCCCGACCGTTGTTGCTACCTTGGCGTGGTGGTCGGGCTTGCCTATCGTGATGAAGCAACCGAGCTATACTGGCTGGAACAACCGTTCCTCAAGGTCCTACCATGTCAGACAGGTCGGTTGAAGAGCGGTAAGACTAAAAGCAACAAACCCAAGGTCCGAAGGCGAAGTCGTACTGCTGACTGTACAGAGGTGTGACAGCAGTAAGCTGTTTCCTTCAGACAACCAGCATGACAGCGATGCTGCCTTCCCACAAGGAGGGGTGGGGTTAGAAAAGGTCGACCCTAAAAATGCACACCTCGCCTTATCCCACGGATATCCGTCTCCGGCGGTAAGGTCTCAATAAGTACGGAGCTAACACAAAAATTACCCATAACAAGGTCGTGTGTGACCGACCTCAAGCAGTTGTCCCTTGGGCACTGCGGTCACGCTCTTAGGTCACTAAGACCACCTTTAATCCAAATTCCTTTTCAGGTACCTCCAGAAGAACCCTTCCACGGTGTGGGCAACCGGGAAGTGAAAACCGCCCTCATACCTCTAACAGCACTCAAGACCACTGTATTCATAATCAACCTTCCTCTTCAATTCCTATTATTCCTCCTACATCGACTTTCAACTTTAAATTTCCTCTCTCGGCTTCCACCTCAAGTGTCACCATAGCCAACGATTCTAGTGCGCAAAATACTGTCCCAGGTCTACTGAAACCTCGCTCCAAACTACACATTGGAGCCTTCAACGTACGAACCCTATGTCAAATCGGTCAGCAGGCTTCCTTGGCTAGAACCCTAGAGTCTCTTACCATTGACGTGTGCTGTGTCTCCGAAACACGCATACAGGATTCCAGTGTGGTCATTCACTTGACCTCACCTCGGCAAAACGGAGAGCCAACGAGATACACCCTTCGTGTATCTGGTGACCCGATGGCAAGTTCTCGTGGACTGGCAGGTGTAGGCATAGCACTAAGCATGAGGGCCGAACAAGCACTGCTAGAGTGGATCCCCGTCAACAGTCGTCTCCTTCCAGGAGGTCCACTTATCGACTTAGAATACGCAGATGACATAGTCCTGTTTGGTGAAGACGCTGACAAAATGCAGAGTCTTCTGGTAGCACTAAGCAACAACGCCAGAATGTTTGGGATGCGCTTCTCTCCCTCTAAATGCAAGTTGTTGCTTCAGGACTGGTCTCCGTCAACACCTGAACTAAGGATAGGGAGTGAAGTAGTCGAACGCGTTGACAACTTCACTTATCTTGGAAGTCTGATCAGCCCTAATGGGTTGGTGTCTGACGAAATCTCAGCACGGATTCGAAAAGCTCGTTTGGCTTTTGCCAATTTACGTCACCTTTGGCGAAGGCGAGATATCCGTCTATCAATAAAAGGACGAGTATACTGCGCGGCAGTTCGTTCTGTTTTAATTTACGGCAGCGAAACATGGCCCTTAAGAGTAGAAGACACCCGTAAGCTACTAGCATTTGACCACAGATGCCTTAGAAATATTGCTGGTATCTGCTGGGATCACCGGGTAAGTAATAGTGAGGTTAGACGCAGGGTATTAGGTAATGATGGTAAATCAGTTGATGAGGTTATGAATCTTCATCGACTGAGATGGTTGGGCCACGTATTACGTATGCCTGAACACCGATTACCACGACGTGCAATGCTAACCGGGGTAGGGGATGGTTGGAAGAAGGTTAGGGGCGGCCAAACCAAAACGTGGCATCAGTGCTTGAAGTCACTAACTTCTAGTCTGAGCCATGTTGGTAGATGCAGACTACTTGGTTGGGGTCCTCGTGACTTTCGTAACCAATGGTTGGCGACTCTTGGTGACATGGCTCAGAATTGATCACAATGGCGTCGGTTTATACACTCCCTGTCTTCCCTTAAACCAAGAGACTAAAATCACTTCATTCTTTCTGTCTACGAACTAATTCTTTCTTCCTATACTATATCCTTATTGCAACCTTTGACCTAACCACTCCTATGAATCCGCTGTTCATCTTGCTGTGCTAATGAGGTATGGCAACCTGGACCGATGCACATATGTGCCTGGTCCTACGTTGTAGCTGACTGACTGACTTGAACTCAATGTGTTTCACCTATTTCGAACACCACTCATTTGTGTTTACTGATTTCTGTAGCTATTCCATTGATCCTCTCGATCTCCCACATTGTGCGGACATTCCATGTTCGTATATTAATTGTTGCTGTGGTTGTTAGATGTATCATCTGCCTCTTGACTTCCGAAAAATCTCGGCTTTCACCATAATGCGTCATAATTCTTCTGAAAGAAGATCATTCAGCTCAAAGCGCAGAACTTAAATGGTTTAGTTTGTTTATTCTGGTTAGTAGTTTTTTAGCAGTGTTGTTTTTAGGATGGTGTTGCTGACCCCACTCAAACTTCCTCTAGCGGGGCTTGGGACCAACATCAGCCCTAGAAAAGCTACAGGCGCAGCTAGTGAAACAGTCAGGATATATACAGTCGAAGACTGGTCATCCAGGAAAGGCGAAACACCGACACAAAGTAGCGACACTTTGGTTTAGGTCACTCTTATTGAATAAAAACTGTTATCTCTTACTAAATAAAATGATCAGTTTTGTTTTCATCCTAAACAGTATCTGTCATGAAAATCTGGTTTAATAAGAGGGTCAAAAAAAAATATTAAAAGCGTTCTCCGTTAGGTCACATCAAGCATACTTGATATATTTGCTGGATGAAACCTTATGCAATAATATTGTGCTAAACAACAGCCAAAGTATTTTTTGCGAGTAGTATTATAAGTCAGTCAAAGTGTGGGACCTCGAACAGTTGCAACTTAATAATTTTCACAAACGAGTAATTTATTATAGTGGGTTTCAACTTGACATTTCTACGGTCAATCAAGGATCACAGTCGACAATGCATTATCTTTAAACCTTTGACGTCGTCTACTGTTAATAATTGTCTTACAAATACATACTAGTGTCGGGCACCAATGCTGGTTGTTCAATAATTTATGTCCATGCCATTAGTATGAGATCATATTACTCGCTTAAATTTCTTCAGCAATCACCTTACGAGGACTGATACAACTTTTAGTCAAACATATTATTTATTGAAACATAAACATTGGTACAATGAGGCACTATATATATATATATATATATATATATGCGCCACTCTTCATCATTCGATTTGTGTGAGGTCTGTGATACTGCCCAGGCACCCAAGCCGGGGCAGGTGGTTTCCTTAGGGTACACTCCCCGAGTCTCTGACTCTAAGGTCTAAACCACAAGGCAGTGGAGTAACATAAGGAGATGTAGTCCCATAGTAGCCGGTGACCAACAGTAAGTTCGTAGATCATTTGTTCCTTCGGGATCCTGGAGCCCATGTGAACCATTGGTTTGGGATCAGGGTTTTCCAACTTCTCTAGGTGAATCCTCCGTGTTCACCCACCTGACCAAATTGCCGGGCATACAGATTGATTTGTAGATTAATTTACTCTATCAATAATTAGCCTATAGTTTTTTTAATCGCTTTCAATTCGACTACATACAATTTATTTTTTTTCATGCCATACTGCTTTTTAAGTGTTTAACTCAAGATGCAATCACGCTATCACCAGAATCTACTGTCGAAGTTTATGGAGTGGTAAAACAATTGCCATCTGGTAAGTCAGCTCCTGGTGGCATAGAATTAGTTGCTGATTGTTGGACGATGATTGGTAAAGCGCCAGCTGGTGGTATCGACTCTGTATTAACTGTGGAAAGTGATATAGACACTCAGTTGGACAACAGACATTTGGTTATTCGAGGAGAAAATGTAAGTGGTGTTTAATAATCTTTTTAGTTCCCTCAAAGTTTCTGTTTTTGTGTGAACATAATCACCATCCATAATTATATTTTAAATGAAACGTCAACAATGCAAATCTTTGAACATCGTATTGCTCTCTCTCATTCGATCTCCCTTCCGAATTTTTTTACACCATTTTCATCAGTATCTTCATTGTCTTACGTTTTTGCCATTCTTTTTCCAGCTATCAATCCTTTTCCATTTTAATTTTAAATGTTACAGCCTTAACCGATGTATAGCATTGTCATTTTAAATCCTTTGTATATTTTTCCCTCAGATGAGGAAAAGAACAACCTTTAGTTCTTAATCTGTAAGGATGATCCCGTTGTTTATATTCTTGACTGGATTTTGATCAGTTCTAGTTGGTATATCTGCATTCTGTAATTATTGTCTCGATATATAGCCATTCTGCTACAAATTTTTTATAGAAGAGGTGGATTGTGGTCAGCATTTGGATATAAGACACTCGTTTTTATCCTATTTTAGATTCGTCAGTTGGGTATACTGGTATCCTAATGTTAATGTTTATGTCCTACCTAGACGATCCTGAGTCACTAACTGGTTGAAAGTTGAATGCTAACACCGATTATGAATGCTTACTCATTCTTTTTAAAACAATGTATGCCATTCGAACTGGCTTCCTTCAACGTTCGTACTCTAATACGGATAAGACAACAGATAGGGTTGGTTATGTCTCTAAAAAGCCCTAGTATCGATATCTGTTGTCTTCCCGAGACCCGTATTCAAGAATCTAGTGAAGTACTACAAATTCGCTCTCCATCTGTGACCTCTGACGACTGATCCACCTAATGAGGCAGAAGTCCGCAAGGAACTCTAACTCTTTAAGCTCCAGAAATCACCAGACCCATATGACTTAACCCCGGCCTTTTTAAAGATGGTGACTTTCTGGTTATGGAACTAATTGAGTTATTTACAATGGTCCGGCAATTAGAGAGTGTCTCAACACAATAGAACGAGTCGATAGTTGCTCTTATATTTAAAAAGGGGTTCACGTCGTTTCTATCAAGGAACCAGTCTATTTCTGATTGCGTCCAAACTATTGGCTGCCGTCATACTTCGTAGATTGTTCAAAATACGAGAAAGATTGGCTCGCGAAGAGCAGGCTGGTTTTGGCCGAGGATGTATTGATCATATCTCCACCAAATGTTAGAACACTGACATACTTATTCCAGGTCAACAATCGTTATGTTTCTTGACATCATGGCCACTTTCGACTCGTTGAACAGGACTGTTCTCTGAGATTGTCTATTGAAGGAGGGTGTTCCTGAGAAGTTGATTAACATCTTGAGTGGTCGCCCGTTAGACGTTAGTTCAGGAATTGACGCCCGAATAATGTGCATTCTTTTCAATTCGTATTGCCGGTAATCATGGTGTCACTGATTGTACTTTCTTGTAAATTATACACCAAAAGGTCATAAATGTTTTACAAACGCGCCTAAATAGGTTATGCGACTAATAGACAATTGGTGTTAAAACAAACAAAAAACAAATAACTTGTTCATATATCTAGATGGTAGGATCAGCTATCCCAGATATTCAAGTAGGCCACCTATATTCGAAAGGGAGAGTGATTTCTCATCACCCTCGACCGTACAAGGGTATTTGGGGTCAGTAAAAGTAAAGAATCATAAGACGCATCTCTAAAATTAACCAATGAGATTAAGGAATAAAGTCAGAAATAACATTTAATATTTGATGTTTGTAAAAACGGATTACAAACGCGAATAGATCTATGGTGTTAATGTCGATTATTCTTATTTTATAAACTGTTTATATTTTGTATATATTTTTTATTTTGATACTTCATTTTCAATTTAGACATCGAAAGTGCTCAGGCTCATCAGCGTTGCTTTGGAAGCTTTCCGTGCACATTACCTAGATCGTGGTTATGTGGAGGTTAGTTTTGCTACAAAAGCAGTCTCGTTTCGTATACCCTTAGCCAAAAATTGTTTTATCTAAATATATATGAAGATAAGTTTAATTTTTATAGTCGGTTTACTTCATGAACCGTTATATTCACCATAGAAGAATGATTGAAGAACCTGGAAGCACTAAATATTTGCGTTCTTTTAGTATTGTACTCCCGTTTATATATACAACTTAGATAATATATATTGTAAAAGGTTTCTTGATATACATCTGATAAATAAAGTTACTAAACGATGTTATCACTTATTCATAGCTCTCATATCCATCATTTTTCAATGATGCATTAATAGTTATTATTATTGTAAGCTCGATTAGTGTTTGATATTTTGTTGACCACCTGGTTCGGTTTGGGCATCCGGGCAGTATCACAGCCCACACACACACAGATATGGTGTGGCGCATATATATTTGGCGCCCTCTTGTACCGATATTTATGTGTTGAAATAAATAATAAATTTTGTTGACCATCAAAATAACACTGATAATCTTCACAGTCTAATCAGTCATATTTTTCCTACTGGTCTCAAGTACTTTGTTCTACTAAACCCTCATACTTACTGTTCTTAATCTGCAATGAAGCCGTAAGTAACATCACTCTCCTTTGGCAATTTTCATTTGCGTCGTTCAACACGACAGCCATGATTGTTACCTCCAAGTTTTTCAGATCAAAATGCCCCTCGTAAGAACTTGGTTATATATATTTATATATACTATTCCATTATAACTAGGTCATATACTAGTCCATTCAAAATAAACTTCTGAATAATTTGTTTCTTTTGTTTTTTTTTTCTAGGTTTTACCGCCGACATTTGTTCAAACTCAAGTCGAAGGCAGTTCTACATTGTTTTCTTTGAATTACTTTGGTGAGAATGCATTCATGTCTCAGTCGTCTCAGTTGTATTTAGAAACATGTATACCTGCCGTAGGTGACTGCTACTGCATAACCCGTAGCTATCGAGCTGAAAAAGTACGTTTTTACCAACAATCTTTGTTTTCTATTTTGCCACTAATTTGGTGTTGTAGATTCCCATTTGAACACTGTTGGTTGTGCACAGTGTTCAGAGCTCGTGAATTTGTTCGCGCTTGCGCAGTTTGTATTGAAAATATATCCCCCGAACTAACGAACCTTGCTCAACTATCAACTTTTTTATCTGAGGGGAATAGAATAAATTTCACTTAGTGCTAAGGTCAGGTTAACGGTTGTCCACACATAGTCTAAGTAAACCATTCCTGTTTTAATCAATACAGCAGAAGAGATGCCCCATAGAAATACAGACGGCTAAATCATAAAGTCCTGGTATGGTTAGTGATCGATCGATATTCTCTTAGGATGTTATCTAGTGAACCCCCTCACATGCATAAATTATGTGCTAAAGGGAATTGTTCTTTCTCGATTTGCTACTCATTAAATTGTTGGAGTAAGAACGCAAGATCACTACGTGTATGATTGTCTGGTTTCATATTGGGTCGAGCCCGTTTAAAAGTTATACTCCATCCAGTGACATTTATGGCTTCATCTTTGTTGAGTCAATAGTGACCAATAGTATCGGAGCTGCATGTCTATCAATGACGGGGCGGGGAGCCTTGAGATTCATTGAAGCCTTACGTTGTTCTGGACAATCATTACCAGAAATAGCATCTTGTGTTTTATTATTGCAGACTATGAACAATTGTCTGCAATTAAATGTACGCATTTTGGTTGTTTATAATAACCATGGGTTAATTGAACATGTATGGTGTTTCTTTTAGCAGCTACTAAACTCCGATTACCTTGAATACAACTTGAAATAGCACCCATTTTCGCGCAAACGCAATGGTAGAAAATGTTTAAACTCTCTTATAGATTAATATTACCATATGTCAGGCGTCAACATAATTTGATATAGTGGCAGGCGGAAATTTATAATTATCACAAGATGAAACGACGAATTCGCTTACATTATTGAATTAAGCTGTTTTGGCCACTTTTGGACACCGACCAACCAAAACGTTGGCATACCATATCTCCATGATTTTACTCATTATTGCTTCCTTACATAACTTTACTTCATTTAACTCCTCTATTACCTTTAATTATTGTAACAAAACATTTTAATTATCTTACTCCATTCATATTATGATCATTTGTTAACTTCTTAATTTAACAAGGTTTTTTATTCATCCATACTATCTCTCATTGTTATTATCCATATTACGTAATCCAGCATTATTGCCTTTCTATTATATTGTCATGTTTAATCATTGTTCCCATATCCTCTAGGGATTGTGATTCTTGAGATAAATGTTCAAGTACCATTTCGTGTCGCACAGTTTCTGCTAGTGTTTTCAAGGAACGCACTATTCGTTGCTAACTATTCCGACTATTCTGTTTTACCCTCCAGTTTGTTGCTGCCTGTCGATAAATTCGCTCAGATACTGAGACGTTCGTATTTGTATACGTATACCCGAACACCGATTACCACGACGTGCAATGCTAACCGGTGTTGGAGATGGTTGTAAGAAGGTTAGGGGCGGCCAAACCAAAACGTGGCATCAGTGCTTGAAGTCACTAACTTCTAGTCTGAGCCATGTTGGTAGATGCAGACTACTTGGTTGGGGTCCTCGTGACTATCGTAACCAATGGTTGGAGACTCTTGGTGACATGGCTCAGAATCGGTCACAATGGCGTCGGTGTATACACTCTCTGTCTTCTCTTAAACTAAGAGATTAAAATCGCTTCATATCTTTCTTTCTACGGACTAATTCTTTCTTCCTATACTATATCCTTATTGCGATCTTTCTTTTATATATTACCACCTCTGAATTAACCACTTATATGAATCCAGTGTCCATCTTGTGTTAATGAGGTATGGCAACTTGGACCGATGCATATATGTGCCTGGTCCTACGTTGTGGCTGACTGACTCTAACGCTTCCCAAGTGCCGTCGTTAAAACTCGATTATACAAGTTCTACTGATATGGTGTGCTTCACTTCATTATCACTGAGCCACAAGAGAATCTTGGCTAAATAGTCATCCGATAAATATGCTTCTAGAAATTTCCGCATTATTAGTTTACTACTATTCAAAAATTAGACGATACTTAATGATGATTTCCTGAGAACTATTGGTGTATATTTGATACCTAAATCTTCTACACATTAGTTAGGAGCTTATTGTAGTTACTGATACGCTCTACGTCTATCCCATCTCTATCACCAACTAACGGACCGCTCTCTTCTATTACTGCATGTATATATAATTTCGTTGTAAGTGTATGACTAGTTCAATTTTCTTTTGATATTTTCAGAGTAGAACTCGACGCCATTTATCTGAGTATAATCACGTTGAAGCGGAATGTCCATTTATTGATTTGAACGGTTTATTAGAACGGATTGAAGATTTAGTTGTTGATGTTTGTGATCGCATTATGAAAAAATCCGGTGATCTGTTATTAGATGTGAACCCAGTTAGTTTTACTCTTGATAACACTGATGATAGTAATTTTATATTATGAGTTTTTGTTTTTATTGTTCGCTTCAAAATAATTCTGTTTTTTCTTCAGTTTCCTAATATTATAGAACTAGATATTTGCGGAGGTAGTTCATTTCAAAGGTAAATTACATCACTGACTGGTGAATACAACCTACAAATTGAATCAACATTCACAAAACCCTTTTAACTAGATGATAATAGTTGGCTTGCTTGTGACTAACTTGGAGATATTTCTGAAATTCTAGTTCTAAGTCGTGACTGGTGGAGTTCAAACAAGTTGGGAGTAAAAGGAGTCATCAATAATAATTTTGGATAATCGTTGTACCCCAAACTGGAGGACACTGAAACTGTACTATTAAATGTTTCTACCCAGTGGTTCTAATCGTTGAGCTTTTCTCGTGATGGTGTCCTGAGTTCCGAATACTGAGGAGTCCCATACTGGGATAAAACATTTCTCAATGGCGTCCCAACCGAGACTGTTTTGTAGCGAATACAACCAACAAACTAAGCCAGTCTCCATAAAACTCTTCCAACTAAGTTAGGAAAAAATAATTGAAAATATTTCAACTGTGTTCACACTTACAACCTACTAGGAGTAGGATGTTCAGACTACTTCATCGTTTAATTATATATCTAGTATGTATGTAAACTTGGTTGGGTTGATGAGTATTGCTGCATTCTTAAATTGGTACATATTAGTTTTTGGATGTCCATAACTCATAAGCAAATATTCCATGATATCATTCTTCTCCTGTGATTGATTCAAAATTATACTTTTTTTGTCATGATTATAGTTACACACTTTGCTTTTTCATATTTGGACAGATTGTTTGTTTGATATCATTTGAAATACGAATTTTTACAGTAAGTACCCGCGACCCCACCAAAGGTTGAATCCACAATAATCAATAAATAATAAATAAATCATGGCGAGAGCGTCAAGTTTAGACATTAAGCGGGTGTGTGGTCAGTATCACTAACTGACTGAATTTGGAAACGTGCACTATTAAGTGTGCCAGATTAACGACATTGTTAGTTTTATACAGCTTAAATTGTTCATACATTGTTCATGTTCACAATGATCAGATTTACATTTTCTTATTTCGGTTGATTCTCTTTTTCAGCAATTTAAAATACCTAAAAGTCCTTTTAAACGACTTAAGTACGAAGATGCAATTGTTCATTTAAATAATTTAGGTATTACAAAAGAAGATCTTACACCTTTTCAATATGGTGATGACATTCCTGAGGCTCCTGAACGTCGACTTGTAGACACAATTGGCGAACCAGTTCTGTTAACTAATTTTCCTGCTGGATTAAAAGTTTTCTATATGTTGCGAACTAAAGGTGATCAACGTCTGACTGACTCGGTAAGTAGTTCTTTGTAATTCAAAAATCCCTTTCTTGTTCAATCGGCTTTCAAATAAGCCTTGTATTTTTCATATTTAATTGGTTATGATGTTAAGGTGAGTAAAAAATAACTTATTTGAAACGGTATTTGGCTTCATTTGCATTACTGCTTTTTAATCTATCATCAATACGTATATTTTCAGTTGAATGAATAAATTCAATAGATTCTTACACCATACTTTCACATGGTCCGTCAGAAAATAGTAATTAGTAGAACACAAAAATAACCTCGAACAATAATCAAATACTTACATGACGAGAAGTAAAGTCTTTATGGATTGGTAGCTAAACAAAGATCGACAACACGATAGTCAAAATGAATCACAGTAGCGTTTAGAGATAAAACATTGTTGGTCACTTTTTATTTATAGACAATAGTTAGTTTGACGTCATAAATGGACATCTGCTGTGAAAGTCTAGAGTGTACTGAACAACTGTTTCGTTCTAGTCTACAAATCTTTGCACTCACACAGAATTGGACCGTGCAACCATCTTCACATCCACGTCACATGGGAACACAATACCTTTAAATTATTTAGTCATAATGTCTAATACTGCATAATTTCATTGAATCAATTTGTAACATCGTCTTCAATAAAGTACTGTCACACATTATCAGTTTGATTGATTTAATAGATTGTCAGTAGTGTACACACTGTTTAAGGGGTCCAAACCAGAATAACTATGTTAAATAAGTTACATCTTTTGACTTCATTGATTTCAACATCACTGTGTCTGTTAATTTCGCAGGTTGATCTACTTGTCCCAGGCGTTGGTGAATTAGTCGGCGGATCAATGCGTTTGGATAATATTGATGATCTTCTCAAAGGATATCAGTCAGAGGGAATAGATCCAACTCCTTATTACTGGTATACAGATCAGGTAGTTTGTTGAATATAATGCGTTTAGTGTATGAACAAAATCCATTTTTTGTATCTCTTAACTATAGTATGTTGTCACTGTATTCCCCTTGTTTAGTTTGTTGATTATTAGAGGATAAACGATAATATATTTCGGTATACTTTGCGTTAGATTATCGTGATCAATCATCAGAAAAGTGTTGAATCAAAGTTTCTGTTCTTTTTCCGTTCAAACAATCGTGAACACTATATAGAACTTGACGCAAATATGAATCAGCCCAATTTGTCACACTCCACATCATCACAGTTAACAGGATAGAAATGAAAGAAGCTGAAATCATTGTATCTTCGAACTTAGAAAACATGCAATGAATTAAGAGAACGATTGTATAAAATGATTCAAGGTTTGAAGAAAAGTAAAGAACAAACACATCTAAACCATGTACCTTCTTCATTGATTGGTGACATCTTTTGGCTAGGTTACCTTTAATTTTCCTTATACTAATCATCATTTCAATCCCAATGGACTTGCCTGGTCGACATAGCTTAATTCCAGATTTGGGTCAATAGATATGACCGTAATAGAGCGTCGATCAATATATTTGTGTTGCAAAACCCGTAATAGACATTTAATCATTACCGTTAACTATCAGGTAAATACCTGTATGACTTTCTCAGGGTTTGCTACTCCCTAAATATATAAAATATAAAAAACATTTTAGAAACTGTTGTAGTCAAACTGTTTTATTTATGGTTTTCCCTAAAGGATTTTATATACCCTTGTAAACTGTGATGACCTTTGATCTGAATCAGAATTAGTATGGTCAACTCAGTCTCTATCTTATATGTCTATTAATGTTTGATCACCTCTAGAATTCACCTATCCTAGTCATATCGCTGTCTATGTTCTTTTTTCAACTGTTACTGCTTTCTCATGTTCACTCAAAAGTAGCGAATTAGCTTTATCAAAGATGGGTGCTTCCTCCAGAGATATTACGGTGAAAATTAGCCGTTTAGTGTTTCATAACGTTATACTTCCAAATATTTATTTTGTATGTAGAATGCTTTATAGCGTTTACTGTCATTAACATTTTGTTTGTTTGTATTTCTCACCTTTAGCGCAAATTTGGAACTTGTTCACATGGTGGCTATGGATTAGGTTTTGAACGATTTTGTACTTGGCTTTTAGGCAAAGATCACATACGAGATGTTTGCTTATATCCTCGTTTCATGGGTCGATGTCGACCATGAGTAATAGTTTCACCATAACTCCTATATCTTAGTATGGATGTACTCTGTTTTTGTTCTTACATAATCAGTACGAAATTTTTTCATATACATAAATATTTGTCAACACCTTCAATGTTCGATAAGATAATTCACGGTTTGTTGCATTTTTTTCCCAACGAATGATAAATATATATCATACCATTACTGAGGTTTAACTTGACAATTCCAAATATATTGAGCATCTGAATGAATTTTTTATTCTTATGAAAGTGATAATATATTTATAATATCTGAATGAGTAGAAGATTGAATTTCATAAGTTTTAGGGCTCAGTGTACGTCACTTCTTCTCTGTATTAATTAGTCCTTAATAGTAGTCAATGCGTACCATTAATGATTGAGATTGTCAAAAAATAACAGAAATGCCTATTGCAGTTATTTTGTGAGAATGTGCTGATGTGATTTTTTTTTAACGTTTTCCAACGCATGATGTTTGTAACATCAAGGAAATTGATTCTCATTTTGATATTCGAGCTTTTTCATTGTTTAAGGGTAAATAACAACAAATATGTGTTTAATTTTAACTTTTCCCTATTTGAAATGACAGCCGTTGCATATTAGTCAAAGACATCCTCGCCGCACATAATTCGGAGTCATTTATCACCAAACGTTTTTTGGCAAAAATATTTGTACAGTTTTCTTAGGCATATACCTAAATCAACAGAGAAGACCATTTTAATCTATATTCTTTCTGTGCATGAAAAACCCGCCACAGTTAACTACACTACTGAACAAACATATCGTTTAATAGATGGAGTAACAACAGTGTCAAGGTAAATAGTCGTGAACTGTACACTTCTACACATAAAATATTTTACGCTAACCTCATGACTAGTTATTTGGTGCTAGATAGGCAAACCCCGGTTAAATATCTGTCAATGCTTCTTACTAATTCCCAGAGATAAATTAAACGTATTTCACTGTTTCGGTCTTCCGAATTTTGTAGTATAGTATTCAAGAGAAAGCAGTCATCTGCGAATTTTTGTAAACGATCTATCATATTCACGCGAATTAGTCTATTATTAAGAAATACATCGTCTTGCACGTGATAATACCGAGGCAAAATATTAATGCACCTTATTATAAATTCACGCTCTTTGTTCAGTTATTCATCTAACATGGCGTTTAATTATTACAGGTGACCAATAAAATCAAGCTTGTTACGTTTGTGAATGTTCCTTTCATCTCTGAATGTGAGGTATTATTGAACGAAGATACATGTTTATAATATCAGGAAAGTTAGGTCGCTGAAACAAAACAATTCGTTGATCGAATTGAACAGCTTAAACTTCAGGCGAAAATAATTTTACGATATCCATGAAAATTTTCACTACTGTTTACTTTTCGGCTACATAACTGCATATCAGCAGGATTCTCTTGTAAATCACCTCATGATAATATGTTATGATCAGATAGGAAGTTATTGTGAACTAACGAAATTTTTTGTTAACCAAGATGAAGAACTACTAGGTACTCAAGGCAGACCACAGTGATTTGTTTTGGCCCAACTAACTGTATGCTGCGGCGAAGTTAAATAGCATTAAAATAGCAACACTATTGTAACACCATCTCTACAAGTTCTTCCTTATCTACTGTCTGTGCACTCGCCCTGAGAAATTTGATTCGGTTACTTTTGCCTACCTCTAATGAAAACTACATTGGCTTCGGTAGTTTCCAAATAATTCTCGAGTCATTCAGCTGTTAATGATTTTTATACATCTATGTAATGCTAGATTTGAAGCCTTATTTTTTTCTAAACTCTCACTGATTGCAGTATACATCAGCATGAAAACGAATGTCATTTAATTTCTTTCATCCTAATTATTATTCACATCTAATTAGTGACGTTTAGAGTAAATTCTCAGTAAAATAGATTTTAGAATTATCAATCAGAATCATAAACCAGGAAAAAACAGACGGTAAAACAAATCCCTTTGATTTCACTTAGGTTACATTTGTCTAATATCACACTGAGTTACAGTACAACGCTAATTAATTACTGTGGTACAAGTGATCGTTAGAATGAAAAAGCAGATATAGTTAATCAATACAGTAGACGAGTTTGTATACTTCTGTTTCAATATGTGCACGTTATTTATACATTATGAATCAACAAACTTTAACTTTGGATCATGTTCATGTTATGAAGATTTGTATTCATCTCTTCCAGTCGTAAACAACATAAGATGTAACTCAGATGTCTATTGATTTAAGTCGCTGTTACATTTCACATTACAACACAGCAATAAAATTAATACAGATAAATAATAGCGTCCTTAAACGAATGGTAGGGAATCCATTTTCGTAAATTTAAAATATGTTCATTGAACAAGCTGAAGAACGTTCTGGTGCTTGGAACCGCGAGTGTGAGCATTAACACAACAGTATATATATCCGGCTGATAAGTCCCACCTTACGGAAAGTATTCATCGTAAACCCTTCTGTTAGATATTTTCAGTGTGTACTTGCATATTACTTTCTGGCAAAATCTCACTCTTGTAATGTGTCTCAACAGACACTTTAATAAAGCAAGCACCGTTTTACAACAACGAGGGCCACTATCCATTAGCTTACTGAATTAACATGCCGAGACCTTGTGTAGTAGATATCAGTTTTTCGTTCACTTTTATTATTCCTACTATTCTTCAACAAACAGTAGTGATTTATCTTTATTATTAAATGGCAATTACTAAGGAATTCCGTCATATGGTTATAAGTTTAACCAGTGTTGACCTTTACCCTTGTTACTGAAAATATAAATACCATGTAACTGTGATCGATTTTTTACTTGAGGTCAGTCTCATGACCCGTTACTATGTTGTAGTTATCTGAGTTTTCAAAATGTGTTATCCTAGTATTGAAAAAACGACTGTTTTGTAGTCATTCAATGAGACTAGCGTGCGGGCGTAGCACTGTGATAAATCGTATGGTCGAGTAGGGCAAGGAGCAAAACGACTGACCCAGATAGTTCTACTTGTCCATTAATTAATAACCAGGAGTGTTGTTATGGTTGTAAAAGGATAAAACTGAATAATATTTGAGTGTCTAGTTACATTTTAGCAAAGATTGTCTGTAACTAATAGTGGAATACAGAAAGCGCGTTTCGTTCAGTTTGGGACTCGTAAACTTTCATAACTACACAAATACTTGGACGGTTTTATCACGATAACCCTCGTGGAGGAACATAGGCCGCACACCAGCATTCTTCATACCATTCTGTCCTGGGCAATCATTTCCAGTTGCTGTTGATCTTTTCCATTTCTGTTTCCAACTCCCGAAGCAGTGCATTCTTCGACCCTCATTTTTCCTTTCCCTTCAGCATTTCAATTTAGCACCAGCATTCACACAAATCAATGATAACTACTACTGGCATTGTCATTGTGTGGCGCATATGTATTTGGTGCCACCTTGTACTAATGTTTCTGTGTTCAAATAAATAAATACAGGAATTGCAAACCCTGTACACACCCTAGCCCAAAATTCAATGAATTCCTGGACTACTGTCATGTTTTGAGCTAACCATGTTAATGAGTTACATGATTCATTCAACTTCAATTGAATTCTCTCAGCAGTCAAATTTGGGATTTTCTAATCATGCTTAAACAGTAGTATTTAGTTTTCATGAGGTGATGACTTCCGCTTGTAATTATCCCTTCGAGTCTCTTCTTATTTTCTCCTTGAAGAGATTAAGTATAGGAAACTGCGATTTTTGATGTTTTCTAAGAACGAATTCATTTAAAAATAACCTGACGAGTGAAGAATTAATTATGCATGTTACTCCTTGTGGAGGAGCATAAGCCACCCACCAGCATTCTCCATCGAACTATGTCCTTTCCAGTCGCGATTAATCCTTTTCATGTCTGATTCCAATTCCAGACACAGTGTATCTTCAACCTTCCCCTTTTTCGTTTCCCTTCAGCATTTTAAGTGGGCACTCGCCTCGTGATGCAGTTTGATGACTTCCGAAATGTATGTTCTATCCACTACCCACGTCTATTCCTAATTTCCTCTTCAACTGGAAGCTGGTTTGTTCTCTCCCACAGTAGGCTGTTGCTGATGGTATCCAGTCAACGGACACTGATTATCTTGCATACACAATTGTTTGTAAATACTTGTACTCTCTTGATGATGGTTGTGGTGGTTCTGCAAGTTTTAGCTGCGTACAGTAGAACTGTGTTGACGTTCGTACTGAAGGTTGTGACTTTGATGTTGGTTGACAGACAGTTGTTTTGAGTTCTATATGTTCTTCAACTGTAGGAATGCTGCCGTTGCTTTGCCACTAATTAACTGTACGTCTGCACCGGGTCCTCCTTGTTCATCGATGATGCTGTGCGTGTACGTGAAATTTTCTACCTATTCGAGAGTTTCTCCATCGAGTGTGATTTGGTCGGTGTTCTCCGTGTTGTATTCTAGGATCTTGTTTTTTTCCTTGTGTGTGTTGAGGCTTCTACCACATTGGTTGTACAGAGTTTCGATAGATATCCGTTCCCTATGGTGATGCTTATTGAGGCACAGAACCTCTTGACACGTTGATGTTAGTGCTTACTTGATCCCTTTCCTACTGTCCTCCGTAGTAGTTCCTTCTCTTTTGAGTTGATCTTGTAAGGTGTGGCACGTGTTGTTGAGAGCTATTTTGAATTCGTTGAGTTTGTGAGTATCTCAAATTAAGGCTCTATTGAACCTTTGTAATGCTGTCTCTCTGGTTGTCCATTGCTTCTTTGGCTTCAGTCTCATCTTGGCAACCACCATTTGGTGATATGAAGCTATGTCAGCTCCTCTCCTGGTTCTCATGCCTTCTATTGACCTTGTGAATTTTTTTGTTGATGCAATTATGATCGATCTGGTTCTGTGTAGTGTGGTCCGTTGAGACCGATGTAGCTTTGTGTATGCGTTTGTGGGTGAATATTGTGACACATATCCGTTTTGTTGAGTGAACATAAGTTTGCGAATCTCTCACCATTCTCTTTCCTTTTTTCAGTCAACCCACATCGTCCCATGATATTTCGATACTCTTTGTTTAATGATGCTTTGACGATTCTGGGTCCATGAGATTTCCATCCTATAAGTGCATTTCGTGCTTCTTTGGACAGCATCAGAGCAACTCCCTGGGTGTGTGGAGCATTTTCCTCTTCTGAATGAAGTACAGCATCATCTCTCCCGAATTTATCTTTTTCTGTCAAGTTTGAACTCAATGTGTTTCACCTATTTCGAACACCGCTCATTTGTGTTTACTGATTTCTGTAGCTATTCGATTGATCCTCTCGAACTCCTACATTGTGCGGACATTCGATGTTCGTATATTAATTGTTGCTGTGGTTGTTAGATGTATCATCGGCCTCGTGACTTCTGTTGTATCCCGACAAGTTTTATAATTGGGATCTTTTGGGAACAGTTTATGGTCTATTGCTATACATATATTTTAGTGTATAATGGTTAAGTAACTCAACTATATATATTCATGTTTCTATGTGTAAAAGATTTATTTTGATCCATGAACTGTTATCATACGATTTACCGTCCTTGAGTTATACACAGTCTAGTACTTACAGTCTCCCACATTCACAGCCACTTCTGACTAGACCGCGTACAAATGTTGTTTTCTATTTTGTGGTGTGGTGATGTGGTCTGTCTGGTTTATACATAAACCCAGTATGTTTGAAATACATGATTCATATCGCGGAGCTGTGGATTGGTGTTCTGAACTCAACAGGCATGGCTAGGTAGGAAGAAAGACCGATAATGACTGTAGACCGCTCGTACGGGTTTTATGCGTGATTGGTCCAGTTGATAAATCACTGTTCTCTAATTGGCGGTATCATTACATCATATATTAATAGGACACAAGGCCACAATTTATGACAACTTCCAAAAAATCTGGATTTTCACTATGAGGCGTCATAGTTCTTCTGAAAGAAGATCATTCAACTCGAAGGGCAGTGTTTGAATGGTTTAATTTGTCTATTTTTTTAAGTGTTGTTTTCTACGGGATGGGGTTGCTGACTCCAAGCCGAACCCTCCTCCTTTAGCGGGGCTTGGGACCGACATCAGCTCTCGAAGAACTATAGACGGAGTTATCTAATTCATTTACCAGTTGAAAATTTTCACAGAAACCAATAGATGGAACTTTAAAGCATCATCCAATCATACTGTATATGTTCAGTAGAAGAGAAATAGGTGTTTCAACTTACATTTTTGTGTTAAAGTCGTGAAAAATATCTTTAATTATTTCGTGGATAGTTTTTGTTATACCTTGATAAAAATAATCACGTATTGGGTTTTTAGTTTGCTTGCGATAAATTCTATTGAAAAACAAGTGAGAATCTTCCACCTCAACGAGAACGAACTTAAACTTGAATGAACTGTACGTCTAACATAGAATACTTCAATAATTAGCTGCTAACAAGGAAAAAAGACAAAGTAATGGGAAAACTTAATATTCAAACTGAACATTATGAAACAGTACAACTCAGTATACGTCGTAATGAAAACATGGCAGTGAAGCACAGAAAATTATCGGATTATCCATAATGAGAACAAGTCAGTAAAAGGTAAAAGTTATGAGAGGAATTGCATTAGAAAAAAAGCCGTCTATGTTACTGTTAGGAGTACTACTTTAGAATTTTTAAAACAAACTGAGTAATCCCGTTTACATTTTAGGAAGATTGATTCCAGTTGAAGAACCATTGGAAATCAGTAAGTACTGGACATCAATCTCACTGTGGAATTGAACTCTTTTTGAAATGTGCATCTACAACCTCATTAAAAGTTGAATCCGATATCTTTATTTTTCGTGGTGAGTGCTGAATCTATAGACCATTATGTTACTGTTCGTAGTCTAACTCTAGTCAGTTCTAGATAGAAAGCAACAATTATCCACTATCCAACAGCGATTATTGTCTTATTGCTAACTTAAATGAATTCAACGAGTTATGACCTAAATTATCAATTTTTAGTTTGATTCTTTGTGAGGTCATATTATCTATTCCTAAATTGTTCCGTATTAAAGCAAAATTGCTCTACCGTGCTCTGTGGTCTTCAATTGATGTCAATCTCTGATGTCTACCAACTAAGAATTAAACTCATCTCAAGAAACCTACCAATCGAATCAGCAAACCCTTGGTGATGATTAAAAATGCAGAAATCATGAAATCTTGTAACAATAGTATGATAGGCTAGTTATAGTCAGATGAATTTATCGATCATTTGTCTAAATTGTTATGTATGACAATATGTAACTACATCGATGAATGACTGTTAATCTTATTACACGTAATTTCTTTGATGTAATAAGCCAATTTTCTGTGCTCTATGTTCAGTTGATGTGCGAAACTGAGTGGCCTATGGTTCAGTTAATAAATATGATGAATCAATATTTATTTTGTAATTTGTATAATTTCATTGAAGTTCAAAATAAGAACAATGCGGGATACCTGCAATATGAAAAGTGAGTAATATGATAGTATATACAATGTGTTATATACTGTAGTAGATTATTGCAATAAGTGTGAATTGTGCTGCATTGTTTCGTTACAACAACCACAATAAAACCGAAATGTGAATGGTTATAGTAAAAAATCTAATGAGGTAAAACCAACAGATTACAAGAATACCGATTTTGATAAACTCTGACAAACTCATCGTCATCGAGGACTTGTCGGACGAGGATTACAGAACGGAAGAAAATAACTAAAGTTCTGTTCTCATTGATAAACAACCTGCTAAAGTGTTCTCACTAAAAGTTTGTACTCTTAAAGCGATCAGTCATTTCTCTATTGATAGTCGTGAATTTAAAAATTACTGAAATCATATGCTGCAGCGAACATAAATACTGAAGAACCAGTAATAAACTTTGGTTCTTAGATAATCCATAGGATCCCAAATAACTGAATATTATTCATTGACTTTTTTATGTCAGTTGTGAGTTGGTTTCTCTACCCACGGAGTCAGTCGATAATATGTAACATAGATTCTGGCACACATATAGTGCTACTTCAAGAGATCTGTGAGGTTCTAAGTGGATGGAAGTGATGTTATCTGTCTATCATACATGTTAAAAGTATTTATTTACGCCGTAACACGACACGTATTAGGATCATATATGACGAGGACATCTTGTTCACCTACTATTCTGTACCGATTACAAAATATAGGAATTCTTCCGGAATCATAGTGTTCATCCCTTAAAAAAACTTCCCTCAATTGTCTTAGTTAATCCATTTCCATTGATAGAATTTTTTTTAATATGGGCTAATTTATCACAGCCAATTCTCTTCAATTATCAGTATGGGGTTGTGGAGATTATTACGATTTGACTGAGATCATGAACTGACTGATGTTAGACCACCATTGAAAACCTGAAAGCACTGAGCGGCCGTTTCGTCCTATTGTAGGACTCTTCAGCAGTGCGCATCCACTTTCCCGGGTTCGAATCCCACGAGCGGGATGTATATAAACACAAATTAATATCTAAAAAGCTTTCTTAAATAATAAATCTATTGTCTGAAAAACTATCATCATCATCATCATTATATGAACAAACTATATACTCTTCACATTCTATAGTTATATATCTAAATTATAAATTCAAAGCATGATCAGGTTCAAGGTAAATAATCTTTGTGAATTAAGGCAATATCGAGGCGATACACACAGTATGCACATATGCCAATAGGAGACTGATTAATTGCAATCCTTATCATCAATGGGAAGATTCAAGTAAGCAATACCAAGTGAATTTGAATTTATGATTGTTTGTAAGATAAAATAAAATTAGTAATGTTGGAATGGCTAATAAGATGCACATAAGCACGAAAATATAAATTCCTAGAATTTCTACCAACATAGCTTCCTCCACAAGAGCAGCCGGATTAATAGCTAAGGAAATAGGTGTCTCGTCTAGGTAGTTTATCTTTCCGTCTCGACGTGACCACTGAACACAGGTTCCTTAAATTCTTTAGTGCAACTTCAGAATTAGTGTTCCGTTGGGCGCGTCATCTCTAAATTATAGATGTATAAAGAGACTTTGTGCTCACAGTTATGACTTCCTTTTTCTATTTTCTTGGCTAAATATATATTTGTAAACTTGTTAGGGTATTTATTTTTTTACAACTGCATCTGAGGAGTAAGTTGCTTTGATTCTATATTGAGGTGTTTTAACGAGGTTTCTCATAATGGCAAGTATCAGTAATTTGCTTGTTTATGTTTCTTCATAGTAACCGATCTACTCACTTAGTAAGTAGGAAATCTTGAGAAGTTATTCTGCCTCAATTAATAATTCTATTCTATTTTTCAAATAATCTTTTATTCACTTTCAATAATTTTAAACGATGTATCTACCTTAATGCTTGCCAACTTTTGAATTATTCATTTGGACATACAGTTGCAGAATGTGAAAAGAATTTATTGAAATGCATTATTATATTGACCGCGAAATGAATATTTTCTGCAAGACAATCGATTATTCAACACCTACGCACTCAAATAGTTAACCAGGTAGTAAAATCTAGCATTTTAACAAATGGTATGACGTTTACAACGGATGATGAAATATTACCATCATCAAATTTTTGTCTAACACTAACAAAACAGTTTACCTTATTCTTTGTGTTACTTACAATTTATAAGTAGTATAAGTTTGTATAATACACTGTCCTCAATGTCTCAATAGAAATGTTCGTGAAACAAAGACTTGTTCAGCTTTTGAGTAAACAATGTTAAATGGTTTGAATAAGGAAAATATGATAGAATATTTAGAAAACATGAACATATTGTAGGGGAATTAAGATTGTGAATTATTCGATTTACTAAAAGTCTGATTACATCATCAATGATCATATTTCTGTGTTATATGCATAAATTTACGGAGGATAATACAAGTCATTCACTTTTCCAATATATCATATACTTATATGACTAATCTATTCATAGTGTTCATTAAGTGCTGTCGATTTACACTGTCCAACAAAAAATCTTGAGAAGGATAATTGTCAAACATAATTACACTTAGTTTCATTACATGATAGACAGCAGTTATATTAACGTGTATTTAAATATCTTGTAAGGTCAGTGAAATGTCATTGAGCCCTAGTCAAATCATCCGGCAGTTGGGTCACTGAATATCGAACGGATCATTGATCCTTGTCAAGGTCAAGGACAAACAATGGGCATCAGTTAGTCGTACACCATGAACTGGCCCATGCAGTGGTGGTCACACATTCGCTTGTACCTACTTTAAATAATATATTTCTGTAATAACGTCCTTTGTGTTGTAAAGTCTTCAAAGCATCCATAGTACATTGATACGAGGAAAGGGTGATCCACGTTATGTGTTGACCTTGAGGTGTGACTTCGACTTTAGCTGTTGGTCACATCATTCCTGTCTAATTTAAGTAGGCCCCCAATCATTCGATAGAGATCATCAACGTTGATGATCTACAGATGAAATTTGAAATAAACTGTAAGTGTCAGGTGTAACAATTAATTTTGATATCGTTTTATTCTATGATAAACACTTTATTAAAGGAGAGTTGTACCGTTTGTTTAAATTATAACTTTTACACAGTAAACCGCCTTTACTTCAACAACCAAAGAAAAATAATGAGTAACGAATAGATTTTTATATTGTGTAACACTTTAATTATGCTCATTCACAATTCGCTAGAGGTTGATTCCAAGACTTATTCTATCTAATGCATATAACATTTTCTGAATTAACTTTCCTTCTTCAGTAACCTGTTTTCTTAAATATAATTGAAAATATATTCTAACATTTGAGCACTAATTATTTCCTCTTTTCCATACTGTTATAACGATCGGTTTTTCTTGTCTACACGAATGGGACACTAATTTACCTTAGACAAATATCTATACTAGATACTTTCTCAGTGTCTATTCTACAAGATTTCAACATAACTCAGGACAAGAACATGTGACTAGCCTGACTAGAACGTAAATATATTTGCACATCAAAAACCGGAAACAATCTGACAACAGTCTGACAACAATCCGATAATAATAATAATAATAATAATATAGGTAAGAGAGTATATCACTCATCTGGTACCTGTTAGACTATCTGCTAGTCTGACTTAGCAAACAACCAATCATTATCTTCCTCTCACACACAAATGTTTGTTGATGAAGACATTTTTCAGTAGACTTGTTTTATATCATTAAACAGTAAAACAACTCTGAACAACTGGTTATTCTTATTTAATTCTTCTAATAATCAATCACACATAGCCCCCAAATGCCCTGGTACGGTCGAGAGTGGGGAGAGTCAGCACTCCGTCTCCAAATGCTCTAACATGGCCACGTGCATACAACCACTGCCAGGGAAGTCCTACTCACTGTCTTCTCTCAACAGCTGTGTTATTTACGAAATCGAGAGGACGAAAAGCGAATGTCTGGCACTTTAATCGGGTTGATGTACACAGAGGATCTACCTAAAGGAGTTGGAAAACTCTGATCCCAAACAAATGGTGCAAATAGGCTCCAGTATCCTGCGGGAACAAATGGCGTATCAACCAATCGTTGGTCACCGGCTACCATGAGACTGCATCTCCTTACGTCGCTCCCCTCTCTTGTGGATCAAACCTTTAAGTCAAAGGCTCCGAGTGTGGCCCTCTA